CCATTTTATTTTACTAATATTCTAACTAACATACACTACCCTCTCACGTTCACGTTTTTTTTTTTTTGGTCTAATACTGTCTTAGGAATATTGTATTAAATTAAAATAAATTTAAAACGCTTTTTCCTTTTGTTGTACTTAAAATACTTTTTCTAATTTTATATTCAAAAAACTTTATAATTATTAAAAATATTTTTAATCGAATCTCATTTTTAATAAATTAATTAATTATTTTTATATTAAAATTATATTTTTATATTTACCCTTATATGATAGGGTATTTTAATTAAAAATAAATATAAAATAATTTATTTATCAATGATATTTTTAAAAAAATATATTAATCATATATTAAAAATGCTTCACATGTTTTTAATTGAGGGAGTTTATTCTTGTTGTTTAATATTACAAGCCATTTTTATCAGATTATAGTCTCAATAATCTCATTATAGTCTTATTTGATTAATTTTTTTATTAATGATATCCCTTAATTAATACAATGCTTTAAAGAAATCTTATAATACTGAATGGGATGACTAATATTAAATTACTTCTTCTGATCCTATTTATAAGTTACTTTAAACATATTTTATCTAGAACTAAAAAAATTTTAAATTTCATTAACTTTGTTTAAAAATTTAACAAGTTTTCAGCTTTATTCCTAATAAATGTTCTTAAATTTCATTAATGATATTTTTATTAAGGCATCTAATAAAGGAAAAATGTTAAAGTGAACACTGAGAATTGACAAGTGCCCTATGAATATAATCAAATTTTTTCTTCTTTTTCTATCTTATAAATAAGACTAGAGAAGTATATGTAAAGAATATTTTAATTCAACATATTAATAAAACATTTAATGCAATTTGAAGATAATAAAAGCTCATATAATTTACATTTCATTATCCATATTCTTACTCCCACTTGTTGGCCTCATGCTAAGTGATCGAGTGGAGTTAATTCTTTATCAAATTGTTATTATATAGATACATATTTTCATTTAAATTTTGATGAATACATTTTATTGAAGGCGCTGATAAATTATCTCAGTCCTAGTAATTACTTATATTTAAAGTCGTTCAAATTCTTAGATTTATTTTTAAACCTTACCCCTTTCTTGTTTTTGCTAAATTAACTAATATGCTTAGACATAACGATTATCTCATGTGGTTTGTGACCTTCACACGTGTATTGGCAATATAAAAAAATATTAATATAAAGTACTACTTTTTTTATTTAAAAATATAAAGCATTTTTTCAGGAATTGAATGTTAAAAAATGTAAAGCATTTTTAATTTTTTGAGTTATAATCATTGTTTTTTTTCAAAAGTGCTATTAATAATGACTTTATATTTATTATAAAATATTTAATAGGAATAAATATGAAAAAATAGGGTTAGTTTAAAAGTAAATAACTATTTAATTGGAGATGAAATTCGATTAAAAATGCATTATATTTTTAAACGAAAGGGGTAAAAAGTAAAAGAATTTATGTACTGGCTCAGTTGCACCTCCAAGAGTAGGAAGGACGAAATGACATTATGCTATATTTGGATACATATAAATTTAAGACTTGAATTTAAATTTAAACTAAATTTACTATTTGGGTAATTAAAAATGCATGGAATTTAAATTATATCTTAATTTCTTTGTAATTTATAGTTCTTTTAAACTTTCATTATTTCAAAGCCTAACTCAATTTTTTTTGTAATTTGACCAAAATTCACGAAGGCTTGACCAAACCACCAATTGTAATTAGACCAAACAACAGAAGCTGATGGAACCAAGCTGTCATTGTTGATTAGGATTGAATCGCCGCTACCAATTGGGATTGCATTGCCGGCACCAATAAGGACTGGATGGCCTACTTTCATTGAGACTGAATAGCCCGCACCAATAGGGATCGAAGTGCAAGCAATAATCTGGACTAGAAGATCAACTTCCCATCCTGATTGAAGATACTAGTCCAATTTTTATCAAAGTCATCAACCCAGTCACTGTGGGAGCTAGTTATTCGATCCTGGTTGTCGGCACAATCCTGATTGGTCGTAGGGGTCCTATCCTGGTCGCCTCTTAGTTGAAGTTGGTCGTCTAGTCCTACTCATCATTATCAGTCTAGTCTCATTAGAAGTCGACCATTTGGTCTCAGTCGTCGTCATTGATTTGATCCCGATGGAAGTTAGCCATCTGGTCCATATGGAAGTAGGTCGTTTAGTCCGAGTCATCATTATCGATCCAACTCAAGTGGAAGTCGAGTGTCTGGTCTTGATTATCGTAGTCAATCAAGCCTAGTGGAAGTCGGTAGTTTAGTCCCAATCATTGCCATCGGTTCGGTCTTAGCGAAAGTCAGTTGTTCAGTTCCAGTAGTCACGGGTGTCATAGTACCAGTCAATGTTGATAGTCCGATTCCAATAGTCACTTGTACCACAAATATAGAATTTATAATTTAAAATTTTACTTTAAATTTAAATAAAAAATTTTAATATTATAATTTAAAAGTTTTTACATCATGTAAACAAAGAATTTAGAATTTTTAAATTTTACATGTGAGATTTTAAATATAAAATTTTAAATTTAAATTTTCAACTTAAATCTATCAATGCAAACGCAACCTTAAAGTAATTAAATATTCTTTTGCACTATTAATGGGTAATCAATTATTATTGACTAAATTAATATTTCAGTTTTGGCCAAGAGTCTTTGTGGTAACAATGATTCAATGAATTCTGACCAAAAAAAAAAAAAAACAATGATTCAATGAATGCTATTTGTGGTCATGGGTTAAATGAGTGGCCAATAAATTAGTTTTTCATGATATGTTACTGCACAAGGTCTTCAAAGGAACAAAGCGTTGAGTCATCCTCAATTTATGAGGCCTTATCTAATCTAAGTCTAAATTATTATAATTAAGCTGTTACAAATTTTTGAAATTATTTTAAGAATGTATTATTAGAATGCCACGTATTATTATTATTTTGTGTTTTACTCATGAATAATAATAACTCATAGTAAAAACTTTGATATTATTGTTAGAAAATGATCATCCTTTCATTTTTTCATGATATCGCAACAATATTTCTGAAAAGCCAATAGTAATTTGTTAAATTAATGAATATTAATGCATTGGCGGGGTCAAAATTTTGATTCTATTGTAATGTAATATTTTATTTATAGACACCTATTAATTGCAATATGTATTGTTCTAAACAATTCAGAAAATTCAATGTATCACTAAATTACTGTCTTAGACAGAACTTGGACAACTAATTAGCAATTGAAACTTCCCCGTAAACATAATTCATTTTTTGTTTTGTAAATTCAAAAAACTTACATACTTAAACTTATACATTTAATGAATATGTTTTCAATTAAACTCAAACATGTATATTTTTTATAAATTATTTAATTTATAATCAATTTTTTCTCGTTAATAATAATAATATTATTATTAATTATTAATGTATTAAAATTCCTGTGTCTTAATTTGATTGAATAAAGATTTATGTATTTAACTTCATATATTCATATTTAATATACTTATATCAAATCAAATAATGACACATGTATCTTAATGTATTAATTTAATTAACAATAAAAATTTATTATAGAAAAAATAATTTATAAAAGAGTCACATATCTTGATTTAATTGGATACAAGTATATCTTAAGTATATACATTTTTTTCATTTAATATATAAGACTAAACAAATATTTTTTTCCTTGCAAATTAGGGATGGCCTTTTATTTGTTTAGTTTCTTACCCTTGGGTCTATTCCATTTTCTAATGAATTATTTATCATAATAATTTAATTTAATAATAAACAACAGAGACTTCTCCAAGACAACTTTTCTAGTCCATGAGGTGCTCTGTTTCCATCAAATCAAATATATATATATATATATATATTATATCAGGTGTTTCGTTTCATTTCATTTCATATATGTATTATGTGTATTTAATTTAAGTATAAATATTTCCCCTTTATTATTTATATTTCAATTAAATGCCTATGTTTATAACAATTTTTCACGTTTTTTGCGTTACACATGAAAAAAGAACATTCTATTCTATTCTATTCCTCGTTATTTTTCCAAGGCAAACAACAACTTGTAGTCGAAAAATAATTACAATCTGGAAGAATCAGGGAAGGTAAGGCGAATAATCAGAGAAATGGAAAGTTAAAATTTATCTTCATTTAGAGAAATCACCAGAAGGAATAACAGAGAAAATCGATTCACTTTGTTTCCTTTTCACTTTCACTATCTTTCTACTTTCTTCCTTCCCTCGCGTCTCTTTAATTTCCTTCTTTTTATAATCACATTCCTTTCACAGAGAGAGAGAGAGAGAGAGAGAGAGAGGACAAAGTTACTGTGATTGATTCTTTATATACAGAGAAAATGGCACCAACCCAGTCTCTCTTCAACATTTTGACCGACGCAAAAAAACAAAAAACAAAAAAAAAAGGTAAATGAGAGGGAAGGCATGGTAGAAATGTGAGAGGAACTGTGTGGGAGGAGCGCAGTGAAAGAGACAGCAGAGAGAGACAAAGTAAGAGGTAGCCACCACAACAGTGAAAAACAAGCTGCGAGGGAGAGAAAGGTAATTAAATGAAATGACTTTTTCTTTTTGTATATTGTGAGGGTGAGGCTCGCATTGATTTCGAGTCATAGATTTTGATATTAAGTGGTTTCTTTCCCTCCTTTGTCAGAAAGAAAATAAAATAAGTAAATAAATAAATACAGGGTCTGATGTTTGTATAGAGATTTGCGTCTGTTCAATCGGTGAACCGAGGTCGGCTTTTCCCTCATTTTTAACCCTTTTTCTCAGAATCGGTCGGTTGGTCTTTGTCAAATGGTTTTTGCAGATCGATAAAACCTAGCAATAACTAAATGTTTTTGTCATGTTTCCGTGAGAGAAAATTGTAGCCACAGATTTGCAATCCTTTTGATCCTTTCCGTTCATACCCCTCCTCTTGGGTTCTTTATATATCAGTTTCTTCACTTCACTCTCTCCTCTTTGTTTGGCCAGCGAAGAGCACACAGCGAGAGAGAGCGAGAGAAATTCTGAGATTTCTGCGAGAGATTTCTCCCTACAGTGTCCGAGTACAAGATTTTATGTCGTCTAGGTTTGATTCGGAAGTGATTGGAGCTCCGTTGAAGCTCTGCGTTTTGTCTGCTTCCTCGCTCTTGTTCTCTGTGTGCTCTGTTATCCGCTGCTGCATGCTCCTCTGTTCTTCAAGGCAGAGCTTGAATCTGGTGAACCCAACGGCTTCGATGCGTTTGAGACCCAAAAGGTTCGATGCTTGTCCTTGTTTTTCTCCTTCAATCTTCGATAACCCTTTTCTGGGTTTTGAGATTTGGGTCTTAATCTGGGTTTTTCATGTTTGGATTTTGCAGGACTTGTTCTGGAGTTGAGTGTTTCGGAGGCTTTCACAATATAAGATTCTCACACCTTTTCATATTTCTCAGAGGGGATCTCACTTGATATTTGTTCTCTCTTCGTTGGGTTTTCGATTTTTGTTCTCTCTCTCTCTCTCTCTCTCTCTCTCGATTCTGTTTTGATTTTCTTCGCAATTTTCTGGGTATTTTGAGGGGCTTTTGGTGGGGTTTTCCCGAAATTTTTCTCCACCGTGCCTGAGCCTCGGAATCAGCCGTCAAATCAGACGACGAACATGAACAATCTCTGCAAAAAGATGAAGCCGAAGCAAAATCCCATTCCGTCGAGAAAGCTTCGCATAATCTGTGACGACCCTTATGCCACAGATTCGTCTTCAAGCGAAGACGAAGGAGAGCGAAGAATCGAAAGACCGCCGAGAAAGATGAAGCGAATCGTTCGTGAGCTCACTCTCCCTCTTTCTTCTGCCATGTCTAAATCCACTGAAACTGAAAGCTCGTTTCAGGAAAGCAATAACGGAGTCCTCAAGACATCCTCGAAGTTCGCAGATGGTCAAGCCCATAACAAGAAGAGGGTTTTGACCAAAACCCCATCAACGAGAAGCTCGTCTTCTTCGAGATTCAGAGGCGTTCGACAGAGAAAATGGGGGAAATGGGCTGCTGAAATTCGCGATCCATTTAAAGGTGTTCGTATCTGGCTTGGTACTTACAACACCGCACAGGAAGCTTCTCAAGCCTATGAAACGAAGAAGATGGAGTTCGAAGCCATGGCTAAGGCTAAGGCTGAGGCTCAGGCTCAATCTGACAAGAGTCATATTGTTTCTTCTTCCTCAGCTCAAGTTGCTGCTTCTGTATCAGAAGATTCTGAGAGCGTCTTCTCTCAAACTTCACCTTCCTCTGTGCTTGAACTCGATACCTCAACCTCCAAATCCACTGAAGATGCTAACATCATCAACAGCAGTTCAAGCAGAGAAGAAAACGAAGAACATCAAGCAGCAGCAGCAGCAGCAGCAGCACCTGCTATAGCTATTGAGACTAACGATTTTGAGAATGAATTTGCAGAACTCCAAATCCCAGATTTGAGCTTCCTGAGCGAGCCGCCAGTACAAGCACCACCTGCATCATCATCTGCAATACCAGATGTTTCAGGCATAAACCTCGGATTCGATGTGGACTGGGTAATGGTCGACGATTTTGGTCAGGGTTTGAATGATCCTTTTGGGTTGGACGACATGCAGATTTGTGGGTTTGATGACGATGACAACAATGCCAGTGAGCTGCCTGATTTCGATTTTGATCTGTTTGTTGATGAGTTTGCTGGCTGGACTGAGGAGCCCCTCAATATTACCTTGCGTATAAATTTTGCGGCTAGCTTCAACAAAACAACAGCAGCATAGGAATGAGAAAGCATAATTATTACTCGTATTTAGTAATTTAGCAGTGTACTAAGTTCAGTTTTGTGATCTTCAAGACTATGTTTTTGGTCTGCAAGAATGTCGATTCTTGTGAGAGTGGGTTTTTGTTGTGCGTGATGAGGTCCTAGGTTGTATCGTTGATGCATATTGATGAGTGGTAGAAGATGATGAAGAATCCTTTGGGTTTTCCTGAGCTATTAGAGCCGTCCAAGGGTACTTCTAATCATCTCTTAATTTATAATGGACTTGTGTTCATGTTCCTTTATGTTGTTACTATGAATCGTTTTAGTATCGTTTTATAATTATATTATGCAAAATATCAGAAGCTTCTCTTTATAATATCGAAGTCATTTAACTGGAAATCTTGTGTCTCTGGAATCTCAATGCCTGCCTTGGCTGAAGATTCAAATCCTTTGATCGATTCTGGATTTGAGTCCCTTGTTCCCCGGTGTCGCTAGACCTTGATCTCAATTTTTAGTAATGTAACGTGTTCGATGGAGATTAAACGGAGCATCTTTCCCAGGGTAAATTTGTCTTAGAAGTTGTCTTGAAAATTTTATGCGGAAGACGACTATTGAATTAGAATTCTTAAAGTTTTGATTGGCTTTGCCATGGTTGACTAATAAAAAAAAAAAAAACCCAGGACTAGTGTTCCTTTAACCCGAAAAAGAAAGCCTGAGATTAGTTTGAAATTAAGTACCAGCAGCAATTTATCATAAATTTCACTTAATTTCAATAAATAAATAAATAAGAGTTAGTGTTTGAGGGGTAAAAAAATTGAATATTCCGAAGGGACATAAATATTTTCCTCGGGTGACGATATTTGTGGGGAAAGCGGGGAGGGCAAAGGCCAAAGGGAATTTGGAGGGAGAGGAGTGGGGCCCAAGGCGGAATTTTCTTTTGCCAAGTGAAGCATATCGTCAACAAGAGGCAGCGAAAGCTGTTCTATCTCAAGTACTCGTTTGGTTGACCTCAAATTGCATCTATCTTAAAAAAATAAAAATAAAAAGAAAATGAATGTTCTTATTTTTATTTTTACGTTTTTACATTTCGGTTCTTCATCGGATGCCCTTTGAGCCGGCAAACCCACCAATAAAAATAATAAAACAAGTGCTTGCTAGCTAGCACCCAGCAGAAAACACACACTGGGCTCTGTCGCCACGTGTAAGTCCCTCGAAATTTCTTTGCATTTCATTGACACATTTACTTTTAAAATCAAGGGAATTTCATCGAGCAAAACAATTTAGTCCTTAAAATGACTCATTTGATCCTAATATTTTGCCGGGAAAAAATCATACTATGATGATGATGATGATTGTCCGATTCTCCGGTGACTCAATTGGCGGGATCCGATACTTGTGGAATCGTAAAATGTTGTTAAATCTCATATATTCAGTGGTAAATTTGACAGTAAAACTTTTAGCTAGTTTTAATTTAGAATTCGAAAAGATACATATTTAAATTCTGATTCGGGATGTAGGGGGGAAAATGGAATCGAGAATCGTCACCACAATTTCAATGTTTTTTTAAAGACTCGTGCGTATAAAAGATGGATAATAACAACTGAACAAGACATACGTCTGCTCGAATTGGGTTAAAATTTTATATATATATATATATATATAATTACGAGTAATATTTAAATTAAATTAGTGAGTGGCATTTGAGATCATGCACATTATCGCCAGCAGCGAAGCACTAGAATAGGTGGCTCACGCATAGCCCGACCCGCATAAATTTAGACACATCTTTTTCATGTAGTATGCCTAGCTAGCATGATATCATATCATCGATCAATCATCAATATATACATATATGCATATACACAAATCGTGTATCTTCATCAATATCCACACACACACACACACACACACACAAATCTTATAACGTTAATCTGATTGCTAAATTCAGGCCAAAAAAAAAATTGATTGCTAAAAAAAATTAAATTTTATTGATTAATAAATTTTAGACTAACGTTAATATAAAAATTTATCTTAATTTATTAATAAGATTTAATTTATCTTCCTATTTTTTTATATTTTTGGTTTGCTTTTACAAAAATATTGATTCAACAGCGCTTATATTTTTAAAGTTTTTTAATCGTTAGCATTAACTTCATTTAGCTATCATTTTTCATTCATTGTACTTTTCATATCTTTTTAATTTTTTTGATCAATAAGATTTAATTTATTTTTTTATTTTTTATGTATTTTTACTTTACTTTTACAAGAGCGTTGATTCAAGAGCCGTTAAAAAAATGACTCTCATTGGTTAATAAATTTTAGGCTAATATTAATATAAAAATTTTTCTTAATTCATTAATGAGATCTAATTTATTTTTCTATTTTTTATATATTTTTAATATACTTTTACAGGAGCATTGATTCAACAGCAGTTTTATTTTCAAATTTTCTTTATCATTAGCATTAATTTTATCCAACTATCTTTCTCCATTCGCTGTACTTTTTCATGCCTTTTCAATTTTCTTGATCAATGAGATTTAATTTATTTTTCTATTTTCCTCGTATTTTCAGTTTACTTTCATGGGAGCATTGTTCAAGAACAATCTCATTTTCAAATTTCATTCGACTATACTTCTTTATTCGCTGTACTTTTTGATGCCTTTTTAATTTTCCTAATCAATGAGATTTAATTTTTTTTTCCTATTTTCATGTATTTTCTTGATTCGATGTACTTAATATCAATTAACTCTTATCAACTATTATCCATAAATATTATCTGTAAAAAAAATAAAAATAAGTTTAAGCTTGATTTGGATCCTCCATCCTTATCTCATGGTCTTGGCCCTTCAAATTGTGTATATTTTGCTATACATTCTGCACTAATAAGATAACGCGGCCATTACTTAAGCACTAAACAAACAAAATTTGAGTGGTAAAGATATCTTTTAATAGCACTTTTGTTTTGCACATAAAAAGAAGAAGAAGTATAGAAACCAAAAAATACAAAAGAATAGATTACAATTAAAAAAAAACCAAAGAAAGAAGGATCCCTTTGGATTCTTTTTTATATTTATATTCATGAAAATACAATTTATGTCATAATTCATAAATTAGTGTCTAATTTTTTTATGTAATAAAAAATAAGGGGTTATTGAGAATTTTAAAAAAAGTATTTTTTCTGAGCCAGTATTTTCTAAGCACTCTAAGAACATGTATTTTTTTAGACAAATTTTTTATTATGGGCTCGAGAAATAGAGATAAGATGTGTACAAATGAAATATTTAAAAAAGAAATGATTGAATAGAAGAACTCTTAAAATTTAACCATCTCAAATGTGTTAATATCAATGGTATCAATGATATTTGTTTCAAATTCCTTAATTTCAACTTGTGCAATACATGAGAAACTGTTTAGTTATTTATAATAGTTTATAAATATTGTTTTAAAAAATAGTAGCATATAAATATGAGATCATGTTAAAAATATAAGACATTTTTTTACAAGGTGAGATTACATTAAAAAAATATAAAATATTTTTAGTTTTTAATATGAAATTATTGGCTTTTTATTTTTAAGAATATCGTTCATATATAAATCACTCAATCCTTGACCTTTACATGAGACTTCCTATTAAATAAAGGTAGACATGAAAAATAATATTAATTTAAATATAATTAACTAACTTATTGGGGGTGTAATTTTATTAATAAAAAGTGCTTCATATTTTTAAATGGAGTTAAAATATTTAAATATGTTATGAATTTGCATTAATTAGTCTTGATGCCATAACATATTGACTTTTCATCTTGTATGGATAGTGATAAGTGGACCATATAAGTGAGTCCATTTAGGTAGATGTCTAACCTACAATTCTTTAGCCCTCAATTATTTTACATTCTTTCTGTTAAAAAATATAAAATATTTCTTTAGGGGTTGAATTTTAAAAAATATAAGACATTTTTAGTATTTCAATGAATAATTATTTCTACCTCTATTTTAAATTATAGAGTAATTTTAAAGGAGTTTCTTTATTTCAAAATATAAGACACTTTGGATAGATTAATATTTCATTAAATACGTCAATTTTAATATTATTCTCTCTTTATAATTAATTTTCATCCTCTCTCTTTTTAATATATTAAATAATAGATATTTTTAAAAGTTTTATATGTTTGTTTTGGAGAGATAAAATTGTTAAGTGTATTTAATGAGATGTATTAACATGTAAAATTTTGTCTAAAAGTGTCTTATAATTTGAGACGGAGGAAGTACCTTTTTTTTTTCAAAAATACTCCTATTAAATAAACTACTTTATATTTTTTTTAGATGAATCACCCTATTAAATAGAGATAAATATAGAAAGATAGAATTGATTTAAAAATAAATAATTACTTTATTGAAAATAAGATTAAATTAAAATATTTTATATTTTTTTAACAAAGAGAGTATATCTTTGATAAAGAGGATTTGATAGAGCTACATTAATCAATTTCTCTCTCTCTCTCTCTCTCGAGAGATAGAGAGAGAGAGATAGAGAAGTAGAGATTAAGAATACAACACTCCCTCCAATTCTTAATGTAAGGCTAACTTAACTAACTTCACTTGTATTAAAAAATGATACTAACTTAACTAACTTCACTTGTTATTAAAAATGATATTTATATTAGAAATTGTTAAAATATGTAAGTTTACAATTTTGCATTCTTTGCCATAATAATTTAATAAAAATTGCTGTATAAGAATTCAAATGATATAAAAAAAAAGAGGGGTAGAACTGAAAAATATTAATTGATCTAACTTTGTCTTATATCAATTAAGGATAAAAAAGCTTGAAAGGTTTGCATTATGTTGAGGATTGAGGGCAGTATCTTTCTTATTTAGCTTGTTATTAATTTACTATTTTTTAAAGAAATTTCCAGAAATACAAAGTTTGTATTTTTTGTCTCTTATTAATTATCATATGAAATTACTGTGTAAGAAAATAAAAGAAATAAAATAAAAAAGAATATGTGAGGAATGGTAAGGATAGGGAACTGAATTGGAAGAACTCGTGGAAATTGGTAATTTGGAAAAGCGTATGGCGAGTAAAATCAAAGGAGGCGGGCTCCTAAAAAGGACAAGGAATGATATAGTAATAATAAGAGGATATCGAAACGACACGACGTGTAAAAACAGAGATGGATTCCCAAAATCCAAAAAGAAGCAAACTGCGATGCTGCCATCGCCGTTGCGTGTCTTTTTCCGACCTTTAATTTAATGACACGCCTTCGCTGACTTCATATCCATTGGTGAACCAC